TGCATGCAGCGCAGCAGCCATCTTCTTTGATACTTTATTAAATATCTGTCAATTATAAATATCAAGGTTTTACATTAATGTCAAGATAGTACATCAAAAATTCATGGAATATGTGACTTTTTCCAAGGGTATTTAATACTTAATGCATTTGTGTCATTTTTCTTTCCAGAGATATTGACAGGTTTTATTAAGTGTTTGTTAGGGAGATTTCATTTTTATCAAGGGACTATAAAGAGAAACTGCATGCTAAATCAATTTTTTTAAGCCAGAATATTGTTCATATTTTTTCATCTTCAAACACTTATAATCCATAGGTTTTATTTAAATTTCTTCTTGGCTTATTTTTGTTTTATATGAATGATAGTTCAAGACAGAACTTTAATAAGGATCAAATATGCTGACTGTGGTGGTTTTTAATTTCCTTAAGCATAGCTACCAGATCCATGCATTATGGTAAATTCTTCAAAATGTCATACTTACATATTTAGCAAATATTCCCCCTTTTTATCGAATCCAAACAAACAATTTTAGTTATTAACCTTTCCCAAACGCAGTGATTACTTTGTGGTAGGTACAGCATTCCCGTGTCTCACGTGGAATTCCACCTTTTGCTGGAAAGGGGCTGGGAGGGTGCTTCCCTCGGCTGCCTTGCCCAGCAGTGAGGAAACCAGAATCCTCTTTTAAAAGTAAGCTCATTAGTGCTTCAAGTCTGATGATGAGCCATGCATTGTTCATTTCTCCAACTTCAAATATTTATTATTCTCAAAAAAGTGAAAATATCAGCCACTTCAAAAATCTGCAGAAAATCTGTGGCTTATTTCTAAACCTTTATTCGGTGGGGTGGGGGGGAATGTTAGTGCTCTGGCAGGCCCTATCACCTTCTGCTCTGTTGGGCCCCCAGGGCCTGGGAAGCCCTGTCACTCTCATCTTTCTGACAGTGGCCAGAGAGATGCCCTTTCTTCTCACCTATTCCCTGTGAATCTCTGTGTTGGAAACTACAATTACAGTTGGTTTAGAAGCTAAGACTAGTTGACCACAAAGTAACTTCTCTTCAATTTTACATGTTCTATTTTATTTTACTTTTACTATTATTTTTTAGTTTTTTTTAGTTTTTGCTATAGGGTGCATGAACTCACCAGCGAGAGAGGGAGGAGAGAAAGAGAAGGAGAGGGAGAGAGAAGTGAGAAACCACTCTCCTCCCTTGAGACCGGCTACACTGCAATCCCTCCCCCTTCTTCATTGTCCTCTTGGGACTTGGGGTGTGCATGCACACACTCCTGATGTGTTTTCAAGTTGCCAGGTCTGAGACTTGAACTATGGTAACCATGTGGGATCCAGCCACCTTCACCAGTGCGCCACTGACGGGTAGGAATGTCTTCTATCACTAAGGCTATCATGATAGGCGAGCCGCTTACAGGGGTTAGTGCAATGAGATGAGGACTGTTGACTTATCCTTTCTGTAAAGCATGAGCTTAAATATAAAATTCTCACCTAAGGACATTTTAGGAACTTTTACACAGTTTCAGTTTAACATTACAATTTTTGAATAATGTGTTTTTAAACTTTGACTTAGTCGTCAACAGGAAAAGGCTTGTTTTTTTTTTTTTTTAATTTAAATTACCATTTTAGAGTTTAAACAAAAATTGTTTGGAATAAAAATTGGTCTTCTCCTTTTTCAGAATAAGTGAAGACATTGTTTTTCAAAATAAAATATTTTTCACCTACAAATCATTATTGATATTTGTTCCAAAATCCTTGTAAGATTAGCATCTAATAATTTTTAGCAGTATGATAGAGATAGGACTTTTTTTTTTTTTCTAAAACCAAATTAAACACATTTTACTTGAGTAAAGCTGCAACAGCCATTTTTGATGAACCCAGTTTCGGTGTGCAGCAAATTGCTAGAAGGCCTTGCCCTGGGCAGCCGGGAACTGCAAGGGCTGTCACCTACTCTCCTGTGATGCCAGCAGGTGGCGTCAGTGTCCCGGCAGTGAGAGCCCTGCTGAAGTGGAAGCTCATTGCCTTCTCTGTATTGTGACACTGCTTCCGTGTAACTAAGTGCACGGATCATGGCAGGGTAGCTTTTTATTCCGAATTACGTCGAGTAGGCACACCCTGTGTTCTCAGGGAGGATAATAACGCTAATACCTTCTGCAAATATTGCATAACCGTACAGTCAAAATCGCCCTCAAAATCCATCAAGGAGTGTTTTTTTCCTTGAGTTTCTCTTACAATGTCATGGGGCCTGTGAACGGAACGTTTATGTTACGGGAGAAGTATATGCGACGAGGTCAGAGCGCAATGTTCTGGAGAGTTAATTCCCGTCTCTTAGGTCCCTGTGGACTCACCTGTCTCTGGATACTTTTGTTAGTCCATGACCACTTAATGACGGTCAAGCATGGAAAGGTTCTTCTTCAAGTTGTTTTTTGAGAGTCAGCATTTGATCTTGAAAATTTTCATCTTTTCCTTTATTTAACACGTCAAAGGTTCTTGCAAGGGATCAGATTTTAAGTTCTTAGTTGCATCCCACGTTGGAATTTACCAGTATACTAGAGTGAATTCCAATTTGAATGAATAAAAACATTTCAAAATAACATAATTTCCCACTTCCTAGAGTTAAAAGAGATAGGCTATACAGTTTCTAGTTGATTGAATAACGTGAAATGTGATTTTATTATTGGTGAAAGGGAATTTTAGCAATAGAGTTTCTTTTCTTCATCATTTCAAAGTTTTTACTTCTTGCGATCAAATTAGTTTTGGATGGAGGGGTAGTAAGAACTGTCTGCCCAATTGGTACTTTTGTAAGAAAAAGGTGAACACTGTCCTGGTTAAGTCTAACTATTAGATAACAAACTCTTTAGGGCTCTTAGAACATAGCCATGGGGCTGGCAGATTGCATGGTGGTTGAGGCGCTGGACTCCCACATGGCCGACCACACTTCGAGTCCTGGACCTGGCAGCTTGCTTTCTCACTTCTCTCTCTGGCCTGATTAAAAATTAATAATAATGAATAAAATTTTTTTAAAAAAGAACATAACCACTCATTACACAGAGAAGCCAGTGAAAAGCTTCGGTCTTCTAGGATTCTTCAATCTTCCTTTCCTGTCGCTTCCTCGCCCCAGGTAGGATTTGTGGGCCTTCTGGAAAATACCCTAGGCAGTATGTTGTTTTATATGTTGACTTAAGACCCATCTCCTTTGGTTTCATTTTATCACAAACATAAGCTTTAAAAGTGATGTGAATGTGTTTTATATTTTGACTTTTCTTCCAAAGGGTTAAAACTGGGCTAAAACACTAGGGGGGGAAGCTCCCAGGAGCTAACACCCAATTGGCAGCCTTTTGTAACATGTAATTTGCCTAAAATTGCGCACTGAGCACAAGCTTTTGTTTTCTAATTGATTTACGGTTTGAGCCACTTTCCCCTCATCCCCTACCGTCCTGCAGACGGTGCCAGCAAGCACATTATGGCCGACCACACTTCGAGTCCTGGACCTGGCAGCTTGCTTTCTCACTTCTCTCTCTGGCCTGATTAAAAATTAATAATAATGAATAAAATTTTTTTAAAAAAGAACATAACCACTCATTACACAGAGAAGCCAGTGAAAAGCTTCGGTCTTCTAGGATTCTTCAATCTTCCTTTCCTGTCGCTTCCTCGCCCCAGGTAGGATTTGTGGGCCTTCTGGAAAATACCCTAGGCAGTATGTTGTTTTATATGTTGACTTAAGACCCATCTCCTTTGGTTTCATTTTATCACAAACATAAGCTTTAAAAGTGATGTGAATGTGTTTTATATTTTGACTTTTCTTCCAAAGGGTTAAAACTGGGCTAAAACACTAGGGGGGGAAGCTCCCAGGAGCTAACACCCAATTGGCAGCCTTTTGTAACATGTAATTTGCCTAAAATTGCGCACTGAGCACAAGCTTTTGTTTTCTAATTGATTTACGGTTTGAGCCACTTTCCCCTCATCCCCTACCGTCCTGCAGACGGTGCCAGCAAGCACATTACGGTGGGCGATGATAAATCGCAGTGCACTTGTGACGCCGCTGCGTCCAGAGTGAAAACTGCATGCCACACGAGCCTGGTGCACTCACCGCGGTGTAGACGCAGCTGCAGCAGAACTGCATTCGGATCTCAGGAATAACCGTTTGTTCATTTGATCACTTACTGCAGTCTGTCTGTCAGACTAACTGAAACTGAAGATTAAAATGATACTGTACAGCTTTTAATTTCCTAATTGAGACAAAGCTTTTAAGTGCTTGAAAGGTCTGGGGGTAGGGATGTTGTGAAGGAAGAATATGAGATGTATAAAATTTTCTCTTTAAGTGTGAAGTTTTAGAGATTTTCACCAAATGTTTTTGTCCAGAAAAAAAATAGTGATGAAATGCAAAGCTGCTGGTCTCTGTTTTGCCTCTCTCTTTGTCTGTAGAGATAATTTTATAATCTCATAATGCCATGCTTTTCTTGATTTGCCGGGCACATGATACTTTTGCATGTAACAGGTTGAATCCCCACGAATTATTTAAGTCCGAGGTGAATGAAAGAACTTCCAATTTCGGGTGCCTGAAGTTGTTCCTTTTACTGATATGCGAAGAGGTGTGAAGTCCCTAGCCCGGTGGCACGTCCAGGCAGAAGATAACAGGGTGGCCAGGACAAGCGCCTCGCCGGGCCACTGCTGTTTAGGTCAGACACTCGGCGCGGGGAAGCCTGCCTCTGTGGAGTCGGTCCACCTTAAATTTCATTTTGCGCGCTGTCTGTGGGTTCTAGTATCGAAATCTGAAGAAGCAGATTTATGGCGGCTGCTGGGCACAACAAATTAAGCTGACAGTGATGTATGAGAGCATAATAGCACGGTGATCCCTCCGCAGCGCGGCTGGACGCCTCCTGCTTCATTTGGCTCTTGTTAGGATCTGTTAGGCAGCTAAATAATGAAATTCTGCTGACTGATTTCGGCTTCTCTTTTTCCTCTTTCCACCTCTGCTTTCTAAAACTTCTAACTCCCAGACCCATCCTCATGCCAACAAGCTGCCCTTGAAGGATTCTTTCACTTATGAGGACTACAGGTTGGTGTCGTGTGTGTGTGTGCGTGTGTGTTGTGATGGTGTCTAAGTGAATGAGGGATCTTGGAAGTGAAGGAAGTGCTTCCATGAGAAGCAACCTCCTGTGACCATTTAAAACATCGAAACAGCGTCTTTGGAAGTTAGAACAAACAGCTTGGCTGCGTACCGGCGTTCTGACAGCCAGGCAGAAATTGCTGCTAACCTGTAGTGTAGGAGATTAGTCGAGGTAGCCAGCTGATTCATGAGGTTACCCTTAGTGTGGGGTGGTCCTGTGGAGGTTTTTCTCTTTTCAAATAGGCTAAAGTTCTTACAAAGGGGGGGCTTCGATTGAACAAAAGTATTTCATTCACTGCACAAGATAGTAAAAAAAAAAAAATGAACAAAAAAAAAAACTGTTCGCATTTCGTACAAAGAGGATTTCTGATCAGAAAGGAATTACATTGTTTGCTTTTCATTGAAGTCAGCTTTGGGTGGGAGGGGTTGGCTTGGGCCAGGGAAGTTGTGTCAGGGTCCTGGAGACCCACAGAAGGCACCTGGGTCCTGGTTGCCAGCCCTGCCCTCTCGCCTCCCCTGACTTCTGACCCTGTTCCCCGCAGTGCCCTGGCCCGGCCGCCCTCTTCCTGCCCTTTCCCTCTCCTCAACTCTAGGCACAGTTTTAAATGATGAAGAAGAAGGCCAAGTATTGCCTCTGACACTTAGAAAAAGGCTTTGAAATTTTGTGAGTGATCAGATGACCCTAAATTTCTGATTTAGCTATTTCTTACTGCATTTGTCTTTCAAATGTTCTGACCTTAATTCACTTTTTTTTTTAACCGTTGTAGGTGGGCAGTCTCTTCTGTTATGACACGACAAAACCAAATTCCCACAGAGGACGGTTCCCGCGTGACCCTGGCTCTGATTCCTTTGTGGGACATGTGCAATCACACCAACGGCCTGGTAACGAGCTCTCCTGTGCTGGGTGGAGTCTGGGCGGCTGTGCGCTAAGCTTCCAGTGGGCACCCCTACCATCTCCCCGCTGCCGCCTGTGGCAGCACAGAACCCAGTGCGCGCCCCTCCCCGCCTCGCACGCATAAAGGCTGGTGTTTTTCTTGCACCGCGCTAACTTACTTCTGAAAACGGGACCTTGACTCTTACGCTGCCTTCAGAAGCTGCAGCGAGCTGCATTGATTTGCTAAGCCGTAGTTCCAGCCTACACGTTCATTTCTTATCTTATTGTACCAGGGGCTAAACCAAAGTTTCTTTTCTTTTACTCTTTTAAAATACTGAGTTATTTTAAAAAGTCTTTCTTCTTTCCAGTTTGCCCTTTTATGTTCCTTTTTTCTTTTGCTGACTCTCTATTTCCAGTTTTGTACTTTTCTCTGATTGTTTCCTCTCCCCTCACCTGATGGTCTGACAAATCCTTGGCCGTATTTGTCACCCTTTTGTTCAGAGCCAGTTAGCGACTCCTGGGGAGTGAGGGTAGGGGTGGGGGCGCTCATGCGTTATTAGGCTCTTGGCCCTTGAGTGCAGGAGTCAGTTGGCAGCCGACGCGGAATGCCGGCTGGGTAGGAGACGCTGGAGATGGAGTCCCAGTGTAGCTGCAGCCCACAGAGCAGCGCGCTCGCTGTTTCTCGGCATCCCCTGGGTCCCCACAGCGGCTCAGGTGGACACTGTGCTGGGGTGGCCATCCGAGGCGGCGTCCCCGTATCGGAGGGTAGAGCCATGACTGAGTTCAGGTGGCTCTGGGCTTTTAAATGTTGTGTTATAGTACCCTGACTTGGTTCGCTCTTGTTCATCTGTCAGCATCCGCTCTCTTTGTTGTGATTAGCAGTATTATAAATAGATCGAAGAAGTGCTGTCTGATTATTTCACATCTAACTCCACAAAATGGCCACGGCCCTCGTGCTGCAAGCCGGGCCAATCCAGGAAGTCAGCGACAGGTCCTCCCTGGAACCTCAGAGGCATTGAGGCTGCAGCCAGAAAGAAAGTTCGGCTTTTATAATTACAGTCTCTTCTTAATTTAGATACACTTAATTTAATTAGCAACACTAAGAAATAGTAGCATGTTTTATCATTTATTTTCATTAATGAGTATAAATTTACATTCTGTTTTTTCCCCTTCAGAGATGTTTTAAACTGATCATAAGCTTGAAATTAAAAAAAAAAAAATTCAAATAGCTTTTAGTATATGTATATCGTATTTTTTTTTTCTTTTTTGGACTAGCTTTTCAGTCCCCTAGCTCATTTTTTAGTATCTGTCTATCGTATTTTTTTTTTCTTTTTTGGACTAGCTTTTCAGTCCCCTAGCTCAATTGATTATTAGAATTTATTCCTTTTATTTCTAAAATTAAGAAAAAAGACTACATGCTTTATTATAAATGACCTCAGCAGTCAGAAACAGTAACCAAAGTTGTGCAGTCCTCGCCTGGCCCTGGTCTGCGCCCCTCGTGGTCTGCTTGATGTCCTCGAGGCAGCTGAGGTGACACTCACATCTCGTCCTCGGCTGTGCACCTGGTGCCCTTGCAAACTCGGGTGTAGGCTGGGCTTTGCGTTGCTTCCACATTGAGATGAGATTATTCACTCCCCACTCCCAAAAGAAAAAAAAAAAAGAGTTTATTTCAAAAATAATGACCTGGCGACAGCTACTACTGTATTTCCCTAAGACTATCCAGGTAGTCTTTAACCTCCCACGGGCCTGGCCAGGACATTGCCAATCTTTAGGAGGTCTATTCAAGATGCTAGTAGTTCCCGTACAATCGCTGTGTGCCCTACATTCTTAACACCTTTGTTGAACTGTCTCTCATTGTAATTGTAAGACTTCCTTCCTGGAAATTTAATGTGGTAGAATTTTAAGAAATTCTATTTTAACATGATAAAATTGTATATTATACATATTAACAGTTAATCCTTTTTTTTTCTTTTTGAGAGGTTTTTGCTATAGGGCATGTGAGCTCGCCAGACAGAGACATAGAGACAGAAAGCGAGAAATCATCCCCCAGGGGGGATGGTCACGCCGCAATCCCTTCTCCTCCATTCTCCTCTTGGGATCTTGGGCACGCACGCACACGCGCCCAGCGTAAGTTTAAGCCACCGGGTCTGGGATGCGAACCGTGGTCGACTATGTGGGAGTCCAGCTACATAGCCATTACGCTAACTGCTGGTCCCAACAGTTAATCCTTAAAAAAAATAATAATAATACAGTGCCTGAAATCAAGACTCAGCTTTTCAGTTGAGTTCCTGTGTGTGTCTATCCCAACTATCATTGTCTTATTATCAGTCTACCCTGACTGTCACTGAGAGAATGCGTGGAAGTCTGTAACCCAGCAATGCTGACTGCTTCTGACAGTGTCCCCCAAACCTGGTTATAGTAGTAGAAACAAGAGTCAGCTCTGTCATGGTGACCCCGAGCTGGTACCAGCGAGGAAGAGCAGGAGATTGCAGGCTGAGGGAGCACCTCAGTGGGACATCGTGGCTGACGGACTGCTGTCCTAGCCCCTGGAGAGACATGCTTATGAGACACATGTACAGTGACACACTTAGCTGCAGGGAGGGAAGGTGCTGGGGCAGATGGTGGCACAGCAGCAGTGTGGTTATAGGGTCATTCACGTGGAAGGGGCCGGCTTCATGCCTGGAGACCTCCCTGCACACTGAATGATCCAGGGCTGGCATGGCGACCTCCCAGGGTGGGTGTCTCTCTCTCTCTCTCATCCTCTTTCCCTTGCTTTGTCTTTCTCTCTTGTGGAAGAATACACAAAATTTAAAAATTATTATCTTTATAGTTGTAGGGTTTGTTCAAAGTGAGCCTGAGCAGCAGGTCTTCCTTTGTGAGGCTTCAGCTCACGTGAGAGACCCGTTCTTGGTGGGCTGCTCTCTAGATCTTAGTACGTAAAGTGTCGGGACAGCCAGCCCTTGCGTATGATGTGTGACTCTGCAGTCAGTGGGCATGACGAGGCAGCTGGAAGCTTAAGCAGAATTAAGGGAAGCCTCTTTTTAAGGCCTTTTTGTGCATTGAAAAAAATGTAAGACATTTATAATTAGATAAGGCTAGAAGTCTCAAAGTAAAAGCCCAAGTTTTTACAATGGCTGACAAGTCCCCCTGCACCCCTGTCCCCACTGCACCCTCTGCACACATCATCTGACTCACTGAGTGCCCTGCCCTCCGTCGGTCCTGGCACTTGCTGTCCCTGCTGCCTGAAATGCTGCTCAGACGTCTCCAAGACTTCCAGGCCTCGGGTGGGGTCTGCCTCGTACGCACCTGCACACCTCCCACCCCGGCCCTCGCCGCCTGGCCCATTTCTTCCCCTCCGTCATCTGCACCCTTTACTTCTCCCTGTTTATCTTGTCTATGGTCGGGTCATCCCCTCTCCCATTAGAACGGAAGGTTCACGAAGGCAGGGCACTCTTTTTCTGTGTTGTGCATTGCTGTATCTCGCTGGCTGGTATTTTTGGAATGAATTCATGATTAGTTAATATATGAATGTAAAACATATTCACCCATGCTGAGGAAAAAAGGTCAGGAAAAAATAAACCAAAATGTTAATGTGATTGTGATCTTTTAAAAAATAGTTTCCAAATTTTATCTGATGAACATGTATTACTGTATTCACCCCCGCCCCTACCATGGAAGTAATAGGGTACACATTTGTTGGAGAAAATGTGAAAAACACAGAAAAGAAGTGATCTGTAACCCTCCCTGTTGGCACCTTGAGGCAGGGTGTGTGTCCCCTCTCCCTAGCACGTCACTTTGGATAACGTCAGTTAAACTGTACTGTAGTCATGGAACTGGCCCGCTCAGTCACATCGAGTTACAAAGCCCCTGCAGCCGACTGATGGAGCACTGTGGGGAGGCACACTGCCCTGCCTGGTGTGCCCTGGCACCCACCTGCCTTCTCGCTCCCCCAGAATTGCCAGCAGACTCCGCCTTGCCACCCCTGCCCTCCCCAGGCACGCTTGAAGCTCACTCGGTGTGTTCTCTTACATTTTGAGTTTTTCCCTGCCTGTCCCCCTCTTGATATATCTACAGGTGGGAACTGAGGCTTCATGCTGTTTGCCAAGTGCCTGGCGAGGACCTGGCGTAGGGTGGGCACTCGGCAAGTATCTGTAGAGTAGAAGCCTGTTGCGAGGCGGGGGCACATGAGTAAGAAGGGTGGGAGGACCCCACGTGGCAGAGGCGGGGGCTGCCCTGGACCCAGCTCCCCATCCTGCAGCCTCTCCCAGTCTGCACTCTGTGCTGGGCCGGTCAGTGGCTGCAGATTCCTGGTCACAGGTGGTCATCTCCAGAGCTCCCGTAGGTGACTCTGGGGACTGGACGGCCTCCGGAGTTTCCCCTGTTGACCTCTTTGGAATGGCTGGCCTGTCTTGCCAGGAGAGTCTCCCCGGAATGCAGCCCTGGCACTGCATTGCCCCTCCAGGGCCTTCTGGCCAGCAGGTCCTTGCATTTAGAGGGACTCCACTGCCCGAGGGAGTGTGTGCAGTGCTGCATGGGGAAATTATTCGCCGGGCCTCCGAGCAGTCCGCCCTAGCTGAGAGACGGCTACAGGTGGGGGCAGCATCCGGGCTGTCCCTGTGGCAGGGCTGCTGATCCGAAGCCCAGAGTGAGATAGCTCCGTAACATGTCCTGAAGTGCCCGTCCTCTTTCTCTATCACGGGCGAGCCGGGGACCTTGCCCTGACCCCCTCCCTCCTGCTGCTGCTGCTGTGGGCAGGTGCCTGTGTCACAGGCGGGTGCGGGGTGGGGAGCTGACCGACCTCCCTGAGAGGGAGTTCATGGTAAAGGGACCTCCTTCAACCCCACTCGGTTATCACCGTGGGGCTGGGGTCGGAAAGGTGGACTGGATGTCGGGCAGGAGCCTCCTAAAGCTGATCTTGCCCCAGACCAAGTGGGGCAAGTCTTCTGTGAGTAGAAACCCACTGGGACCATTGGCTGTGGAGATCCTGGGTTTAAAGAGCACTGTTATGTGGCCTGCCATCCCTGGTTGCCATTCCTGAGCGTCAGGTTTGGTTTTTGTTTTTGTTTTTTAAGAGAGAGAAGGGGTGGGGGGACCAGCAGTTAGTGTAATGGCTATGTCGCTGGACTCCCATGTAGTCAACCATGGTTCAAGTCCCGTACCCAGTGGCCTGAACTCATGCCGGGCGTGTGTGCATATATGCCTAAGATTCCAAGAGGAGAATGGAGGAGAAAGAATTGCAGCATGGCCATCCCCCTTGGAGGTGATTTCTCGCTTTCTGTCTCTCTTTTTCTGGTGAGCACCCGTGCTCTATAGCAAAAAACCTCTCCAAAAATAAAAAGAGAGATTTTTGCTATAGGGTGCATGCGCTCGCCAGAGAGACAGAGAGAGAGAGAGGGAGCACTTCCTGGGGGGAAGACCATGCCACAATCCTTTCTCCATTCTCCTCTGGGGATTTTGGGCATGCATACACACATGCCTGGTGTGTTTTAAGCCACCAGGTCTGGGAATCAAACTGGTCTGTTATGTGAGAGTACAGCCATGTAACCATTATGCCATCATCTGCTGGTCCCTTGTCTTTTGTAAGAGAGATTTTTGCTGTAGGGCACATGGACTCACCCAGGAGACAGATGGAAAGCAAGGAATCACCCCACCATTGGGGGTTGGACACACTGCAGTCTTTACTACTCCATTCTCCTCTCAGGATTTTGGGCCTGCACACACACACCCCTGGCTTAATCTGCCACCAGGATTTGAATCACGGTTGACTACATGGGGGTCCAGCAACATAACCATTACACCATCTGCTGATCCCCAGAGGTCATCTTTTCGATCCAAGCTCTTGGTTCCTTTATTAGGAGCAGCTGCCTTGAGTCTGATTCTCCAGGGCAAAGTGAGCAGGTGAAAATGTAATCACTGAACACACTCTGTGGGGGTGAGGGCCTGTGCCAAGGGACGGAATGGTTCTGAGAGAGCCTGTGGTATAAACGGGGGGCCCTGTTCTCTGCCCCACAGATTTACTTGTCAGCTAAATGCTCTTGAAGGCAGTGTCCGACTGAGGCTCTGTGTGCTCAGCACTTGGGACACAGGTCCCAGGTTGGGACAGGTACATAGATACCGGGGTTTTGGGCTGGTGGACAGCAAGACCAGGGCCCGTGGGAGTGTGCAGGAGTGCGCTGTGGTGGCAGCTTGGGCTGCGTCTCGAAGGCAGAGCTAGAGTAGAAGGTAGTTCCAGGCAAGAGGGAGCCAGACACGCCTGGTGTGGCACACAGGTGTCTCCCATTCCGAAGGCCCAGTGAACCACAGGAAGATTTTAGGTAGGAGGGCCCCGTTAATTCAGTGTGGTGGGAAATAGAGTACTGGAGTCGAGGCCCTCTGGGAGGTGTCTGCATAATAGGCGGGACAAGAAAGAATAGGGACCGGAGGCATTCAGGGGAGTGAAGAGGAAGGAGATAATCCAGAAGGTATCTAGGAGAGAACACCCTGGCAGGTTGGGTGCGGGAGAGCCTGGAGCCTGTGCCGAGACCTGCCATCGCTGGCCCCACCTGCACCAGAGTGCTGAGGCGGCGTGGCTCGGCTGTCTTTCGGGGTTTTCTGTATTCCTTTGTAACGGGCTTAGACACTCAGTGTTAGTGTATCTCAGCAGAGAGAGAGGGAGTAATAGTGACTCAATTCGTTTGGCCTTTACTGACCCTGAAAGTTTCAGTTTTTCTAATTTCAGAGTGAAATACATACTTAATGCAAAGTCGAGCTTTCCTTTGCCCTTGGCGCTGTCCAGTGGAGCACACGTTCTGTCTTACTGCCAAACTTAGGTAGAGGTAATAGTTGCAAATACAAGAGCGGATCTGAGCTCCTGCTCCCCAGGTGGCCAGTGCGCAGGACCGTTCCCGGGCTCGTTCCCGCTCGGGCGTCCTGGCGGTCTGTGGGCCCACTCACTGCTGGGGAGGCTCAGAGGCAGTCGCTCTGTGCCAAGCCATCATCTACATAGTGCTTCTCCCTGAGTGCTTCCTTGACTTCAGGGACAGTTTTCCCTGAGAATCTCTGTCGTAAACAGAGGCCATTGAAATACGCAGGCCTCTGCTCAGCTTTCCCTTTTCGCTCAGCTCCTTAAGGCTTCAGCTGCACCCTGTGAGGCCTGTGGGCTACCTGTTCTCTCCTACTTGCCAGATAAAGCCCCTCGTGACTGAGCGAGTGCAGGCACCTGGCCCTCACTGTTCTTTCGCCCTCTCTCCTGCGGCCAGATCACTACGGGCTACAACCTGGAAGACGACCGCTGCGAGTGTGTGGCCCTGCAGGACTTCCGGCCTGGGGAGCAGGTAGGTGTCGTTCCGTGGCGTCCAGAGTGGGGCCAGTCAGTGGGTGCGACTCAGTACTGTGCTGGCTGTTTCAGAAGGCATTTAACCGGGGAGAGAAAGGTTGGGTTTATATTTCGGAGCTTGTGTTTTGGCACACACCTGGAGGCTAGAGTTGTAATAAGTACCTGGTGCTTTGCGTTGTGCCTTGGGCCCACATAAGAAGGTTTGGACGCAGCTGCTCCCACCATCGGCCTCGCATTTGTAACACTGAGACAAGCGGCGCGACGATGCCGAGGCTGTGTTCATTCCATGAGCTGCATTCCTTTCTTTCTCCCCCCTCCCCCCGTTTAGAATCTTCTTCATAAAAAGGCAGTATTTAAAGGGAGCAAAACATTAGGGAACCAGGAACTTTAAAATCTGTCTTGTACTTTCATCATAATCTGTGATTTTTTTAAAATCTAACACTGTTTGAGTGGAGGCAGGGCTAAGCCTTTCAGTAAGTTTGAAATATGCCTCTGTAAATACCTAAGCTCAGTCCACCAGTCCTGCAGCCAAGCGGATAGCACAGGGCCGGAGCTGACCCAGACCCCTGGCATCCTGGCCAGACAGAGAGAGAGCCCCCAGTCTAGCGGCGTGCCCATGCTGTGCTTCATGAGGGTGCGTAAACCGCCCTGCCGTGCAGGGTCACCCTGGGCCTAGGAATGAACTCTGACAGACATTGCTTAAGCTCAGATTCTAGAAAGGGTTCTCCATATTAAAAGAGGAGGAAGAGCATGGTGACTTTTAAAGCACAGTCTTAGGGCCAGCCCGGAATGGTGGTTAAGGCACCGGAATCCCATGTGGCCAACGGTGCGGTTTGAGTCCCAAAGCCAGAGCTTGAGAAACCCACTGGGCACATGTGCGTGCATGCCCAGAGTCCCAGAAAGGGAGAAATGGAGACGGGATTGCAGTGCAGTCTTTTTTTTTTTTTTTTCCCCCATTTGACCAGAGGGAGACAGAGAAAGAAAGGAAAAGTGAGAAAGTAAGCCACTAGGTTCAGGACTTGAACTGCACTCGCCCATGTGGCAAGTGTCTTCACCACCACACCACCTGCCAGCCCAATAAGTGCAGTCTTTTTTTTTCTTTTGAGAGATTTTCGCTATAGGGCATGTGTGCTCGCCAGACAGAGAGAGACATAGAGACAGAAAGCGAGAAATCACCCCCCAGAGGGGATGGTCACGCCACAATCCCTTCTCCTCCGTTCTCCTCGCGGGATCTTGGGCACGCACGCACACGCGCCCGGTGTGAGTTTTAAGCCACCAGGTCCGGGAACCGCAGTCGACTACATGGGAGTCCAGCGACATAGCCATTACGCTAACTGCTGGTTCCCTAGTGCAGTCTTAAAGCCGTAGCTTTGCCGTCCGTTAGAAGGAGCAGAGGGCTGTCAGAACGGCGGACCCCAGGAGCCCGGGTCCTTTGTGTGCTAGTGAGGCCCTCATTGGGCACGTCTGTGAGCCCTCTCTCTGCCACGTGGTGAGAAAGGACCCGGTCTCTGTGTCACCCGTCTCAGACTGTGGGGAAGTCAGGAGAGCTGCTCCCACCCTCGTTACACATGCCCTACCAGACAGGGGTGTAATTACTTTAGGGCTGTTATGTCTCTTAATGTGAAGTAGCATTAACTATCAGAGAACAAATTCTTTGCCCTGCTGTGTGTTAAGAATGCATGCTAAGTTTGTTTTATGTCCCTTTATTTTTTCTTTACTGCATCTCAGATTTACATTTTTTATGGCACTCGGTCAAATGCAGAGTTTGTGATCCACAGTGGTTTTTTCTTTGACAATAATTCACACGACAGAGTGAAAATAAAGCTTGGAGTGAGCAAAAGCGACAGGCTGTACGCCATGAAGGCCGAGGTCCTGGCTCGCGCTGGCATCCCAACGTACGTAGCGAGGGCGGGCCGGCTCGTTCCCGTGGTGCTCGAGATATGTCCAGTTGCATGTTTAAGTGGTGTGTTCATAAACCTTCTCCATGGTATTTGTCTTAATCCCTTCAGTCCACGTACACAGCGGAGGTAGACCATGGGGCTGCATGGGGATTGAGCCCGGTTTTCAGATCGGACATAGCTGTGTCTTTGGGAACATTCACAGCTCGGTCTTGGGGATGTGGCCTGAAGTTCTCATTAAGTTAAATAAGTGCTTTGGAATCATTAATGCCTTTCACCTTGGAAAGGTTAATGACCTGGATCAATTCGTTTCACTTAATTTTTGCCATCATTAGTTTCCATAATGAAGTCATGATCTACAGTGATTTTAAGAATTTCTGGTTAAATTCTTTAAGATTTCATGCATTTGAAGTGTAAAATGATAAAGAAGACAGGAATTATGATGTATTAGTTCTCCAGGGAATAGAGAAACGGTTCTTAGTGAAAATGGGTTACTCAGACCTTTTTATTGAACTTGTCAATATTTGATTAATGATTAAAGTGTGAACTCAGCATAAATTATAGTTACCATGTTTCCAGACTCGCGAGATGTCTGGTTCTCTTAATGTGGTGTCTTCTCCCTGAGGTGCAGGCTGCTAGGCTGGAAGAGAAGCTGGCAGAGGTGGTCATGCCCAGGCACGGCTCCTGCCTCCAGTGGCCCTGCTCTGCGTTTTGCAGGGACTGACAGCTGTGCTTCCACAGCGCAGATGGGTCGGAATGCTCATTCCAGTGTGTCCCCGGAGGACGGTCGCACGTGTCATAGCTTTAAGGGGTTTCGCTGTGGCCACGGGGTGACTGACCTTGTTCCCTGCTCTTGCCAGTTCCAGTGTTTTTGCGTTGCACTTTACGGATCCGCCCATCTCTGCCCAGCTGCTGGCTTTTCTCCGGGTGTTCTGCATGACCGAAGGTAAATCACTGGGGGGGGGGGGGGGGGGGCAGGGGTTGGTCTCTACT